TTGAGCACCACTGACCAGTGACAACTCCATAGATCTGAAGGGATTAAAGAATGAAGCATTTCAGTGGCTCATGTGATATATGCTGGTCCTTACCAGTAGGTGGTAGCAGTAAGCCTAAACAGTAAGCCTAAACAGCTAACTAGGAAATACCACAAGACATTACATGGTGTCAGAAGTTCACAATGGATCAGCTAAAACCTCCAAATGAACTTCAAGGAAACACCACAGAGAATTGGCAAATCTGAATATAGAAGTTTGAGCTGTATCTCATTGCAAGCACAGGAAAGATAAAATGTACTACGTTTCTTCACATTGCTGAGGATGAAGCACTAATGGGATTCTGATGAGGAATAGATTTTGATGAGGAAGAATCTAATGATTTTGAAGCTCTGAAAGAAAAGTTTATGCATTACTGTGAACCATGAAGAAATTTAACATATCTAAGACATGTTCTCCACAAGATCGAAACGATTGATGCATATGTGACCGATTTTAAAAAACAAGGCAAAGTTTTTTGGCCAGTGTAGAGTAGCACTTGTTGTTTGTCATTTCTCCGATCACAAATGCAGACATGGTTTTATGTTTACGCGGCGCGATGCAACGCAACACGTACAAAGACAGTATAAGTCATTATAATCCGTAATTATGTCCCCACTGGATGCAACAATGCCTTGTTTATAATGGGTTTTAATGTTTTTGTCTGTCGCTCCGGCCGGACAGGGCATCACAGTATTCGGCCAATCACAACGCACTGGATAGCTGGCCAATCAGAGCACACCTCACTTTTCAGACCGATGAGCTTTGTAAAAATCGATGCGTTTCAGAAAGGCGGGGCATAGAGGAGAAACAGTAATGTACAGTATGTGGAAAATAATGTGTTTTTTTAACCTTAAACCCCATAAACATATTTCATTACACCAAATACACAAAATAATGTTATTTTTAGCAGCATCATATGACCCCTTTAAAGCTCTTCACGAGGAAACGGAAGTGATTGTAAACAAAATTAGCAAGATGAAGCTAACTAAAAGTCACCTGAGAATAGTAATGCTCCAAACGCATGGTCAAAGAAAGAAAGTCATTGTACCAGATGCGGTTACAGGCATGAACCAAGGAAGTGTCCGGCAAATGGGCAAGTATGCAAAGTGTGTCGCAGAAAAAAAATAACTTCGGCAGAATGTGCAAAACGCAAAAACAGAAAGACAAAACAAAGTTCACAGTGAGAAAAGCTCATGAGGTTGAAAAAGAGGATCACACAGAAATGTTTATTGGCACCCTTGAAGAAAAGCTGGAAAGAAAACCGAGAACCAGGTTAGCAAAGCAACTGATGCCACAGTAGAGGAAAAAGACAAGTGGAAAGAAACACTGAAAGTAAATAAAAGAGCACACTCTAAAAAATGCTGGGTTGTTTCAACCCAACTTTGGGTCAAATATGGACTAACCCAACTTTTGGGTTAAGAATTCAATTAAACATTTTAAACCAACAGCTGGGTTAGTCCAATTATAAGTTGGGTTGAAAAACCCCAGCATTTTTAGAGTGCACTTTCTTTTAAACTGGATACAGGAGCAGAGTGCAATGTAATGTCATATAAAGACTTCAAAGCAGTAGCAGGAAAATCAGTGACAATGTTCAAATGAACTGTGTGTTAGTTGCGTACTCTTGTCATAAGATGGAGCCAAAGGGTAACGCAAAGCTCACCTGCCAGTTTAAAGACAATGAAGCAAAAATTTAGTTTCAACTGACAGAGAAAGAATCGGGGAAGAGCAGATTGCACAGAATTAGGACTGGTCAAAATAATCTACAAAGTAGACTGAAGAAAACACAGACATCCTGAAGGAGTTTTATAATGTGTTCAATGGTTTGGGATGCATACCAGAACTGCATTACATCAAGGTTGATACAACTGTCTCCTGTGATACATCCACCCAGAAAAGACAAAATAAAAAAAGACATAATAAAAACTCAATAGAATGGGAAGTCTTATTGAGAAACAGGCAGAACCCACTGACTGGGACAAGTATGTTGACTGTGGAGAAGCTGAACAAACTTAGAATCTGCATTGATCCCAAAGACTTAAACAAAGCTATGAAAAGAGAACACTTTCCGTTGGTGATACAAGTAGTCAAGACAGGTTGGCCTAAACAAATTGGAAATATGCCATCTCCGATAAGAAAGTACTGGACATTTGAGAGAAGGTCTTGCTCTCTCAGAAGGACTCAGGAGACTCGTGGTGCCACAAAGTCTGCAAACAGAATTGCTGGAGTGGACTCATGAATCTCATTTGGGAGTTAAGTGCAAAGAGATTGCAAGAGCATGGCATGGGGAAAAAATGAAGATGTAGTGTCCACGTGTGCTGTGTGTAATACTTTCAAAAGGAATAACACCAAAGAACCTCAGTCTGAGCGTGGGCGAAGGTATAGTTGACCTCTTTTACTTCAACCAAGCAGACTACCTGCTATGTGTGGACTACTTGAAATTTCCTGAAATTGCAAAGCTAACACAGACAACAAGCCAACATGTAATAACAGCATTGAAATCTATATTTGCAAGACATGGGATTCTGGAAAAAGTTGTTTCAGATAACGGGCCGCAGTTTGCAAGTGGTCAAATCAGCAACTTCAGAGACAACTGGGAGTTCAAACACTCAACTTCAAGTCTGAGATATCCTCAGTGCAGTAATGGCCAGAGTGAAATACCCACACAGACCATCAAAAACCTGCTAATGGTGTTGCAAGAAAGTCAAGGAGATCTTTACATTGCTCTTCTTGAGTACAGGAATACACCACTAGAAGTGAAGTTATCTCCTGCACAGCTTCTTATTGGTCGTAGACTGAAAGCCAGACTACCAACAATGAATAACTTGCTACAGTCATAACTGCACAAGGATGTTCAGAAAAGCCTGAAAGACAGACAGAGGAAGCAAAAGTTCTACTATGATTGTGGAGCAAGAGACCTGCCTATTCTGAGTGAAGGAGAAAATATGAGACTCAGAGTTGTATTGACTTACGTACTTGTGATCACACAATGAACAAAATAGATAAAGAAGAGTTTCAATGTGACCAATCAGAGGTGGTTCATCCGTGCAGAGGAGCAGTGCCAAAGCACAAGTTACCTACGTAAAATAACTCTGCAAGTAACTTGCAATTTTATGTTTCAAACAGAGATGGCACTAGAGAAGCAAAAGTTACATACTGCAATTTTGATAAGTGATTTGAGATGATAGCAATATCAAGTTAGCTTTGAAAGCATACGATCCCAGCCTCCCTGTAAATCACTCTCCAAAGCCACGCCTCCTCCAAAACACATGAACTCGCACAGGCAGACCTGAGGCTAACCAGCGACACAATGAGAGACAGCGTTGGTGGACAGTTGAATGCAACACTGTCAGACTACCTCACGTCTCATTCACCAGTGAGAAAACATTACAGTACAAAGCACATACAATAATAACTCCTTCTGTTCAGGATGTGAAGAGACTTTTAACCAGCATAAAAATGTTTTTGAACCAAATCACCTACACTGCCTTTAATGCTGGTCTTCTTTCTACTGTACTTCCTCTTTCACCTGCAGTCTCTCAGTTATATATTGACTCATGTCAGATGTAGCCTATGTATATGTATTTTGTTTTATTTTTCTGAGAAAAAGCTCTAATAATAGTCACTGTCCTCAGATTTGTTACTTTTTTTTTTTTTACTGCTATTCAATTTAAGTGTGAAAAATAGCAACCGGTGTAGTCCAAATCCCGAGTGAATGACTCATACTGTATAAGTCTGTTCTTTTTAGTGCAAACAGTTAAGAATCAGTATTAGTGATTGATTACTGAAATCAGGTGGACTTACTGAACTGATTATATGTTATACATAAGGCTTTTGCATCTACAGACCTGTTATATAAATTAATGAATTAATCAATAATATGTTACCTTATTACAATGCGCGCTGAAATAATACTGACTCGTCAATCTCGCCATCCATTGGTCTGATATTTCCTAATAGGCCTTAATGAAATGGTTCACCCAAAATGAAAATTCTCTCATCATTTACTCACCCACAAGTTGTTCCAAACCTGTATGCATTTCTTTCCACCGCTGAACACAAAAGAAGATATTCATACAGATTTGGAACAACTTGAGGGTGAGTAAATGATGACAGGATTTTCATTTTTGAGTGAAATATCCCTTTAATACAGTTTGACACCATATTGAATTCAACATAGATGAAAAGGAGTCTGAGAGATAGACTTACAGACTTTACAATGGCACGGTTTGTATAAAGGTCGTAGATAATGTAATTCTCACAACTTTCAGAACTGTTTTATGGAGTTTTTGTCTATTGAAAGTTAACTAGGGAAAATTAACTGACATTACTGTCATTTTGTTGCAATGAATGTACATAGTCTACTTTTATAAGTGTGTGATCTGTGAAAATGACAATAAAACACGATACAACCTTTTGCAAGAATCAAACAGATTTCTGAGCGGAGTAAAATAAGGATTGCAATTCTTTTTTTCCCCCAAAATGTTTCTTCCTCAAAAGAACAAAAATAATCATTATTTGAACTGTTATGGAGACAGATTTATTAAGAGGAAGGAACCTAAAACAGAATCGTTAAATTTCATGATTCCCCTGTTCACTCGTTTCTGCTGCTTCCATTAATCAATGAATGCAGATTAATGAGCCATCAAAATATTGTTTAATTTTCCTTGTTCTTTAAACACACCAGAATATTATTTATTCTCATAATGCTGAATTTATCAGTTTGATAAAATGTGATTCATGGCAACATTTCTGTAGAAACTTGCATGTTAGTCATTGTGACATTTTCTGAAAACATGTTACAAGATTCGCAGCATTACCAAATGATTTTCTGTAACACATGAGGTACATTTGCATGTCTTTAATCTGTCATGATGTTCCTAAAGATCTGACTGCAGGTTTCAGGAAGTCTTGAGGCTTTAACACAGTCTGTGTCTTTAACCGTCTGTCATCATTCAGTCAGTATGGAGCTCAGTCAACTTCCTCTTGTGCTCTGTGAGTATTATTTTCACTGTATGTATTTCAGTGGATGATAATTGCTATTATATTATGTAAATGATCAAGTGATTTAGTGTTCCTCAACTTTTTTCTTTCTGCTCTCAGTTTCAAATCCACAATATACTGTATGAGTTAGCAATGAACTTTAGAGAGCAAGTGTGCAGTGATGTTTGTGAAAGAGAAATGTTCTGTTGCGTTTACTGTAGGTCAGTCTGTTTTTCAGTCATTAGGTTTTGAGCTTTGTAATGGTATTTGCTGAATCAGTTCTGGAGTTTTGTTTTGCACATTGCCTGTTGCCTTACGTAGATATTCACTAGTACTTTACATTTAGTAAGAATGTATTTTTACCCACTGCTTGTCTTTAGACTGTTAACTTTAAATTCCTTAAAAAGTTCTCTGCTTTATCAAAATCTATAAAATAGCATAATGTTTATGTTTATCTGGATACATATATTTATAAATGCAGCACTCCACAAAACAAACTAGAGCATGAAACACTTCAGCAAATGGTGTTTGATACCATTCTCTGTGAAATCTACATGCACTGATTTATCAGTGAGAGGATGAAATCTTCTGCTGAGACACCTTCACAACTGATGCTACTAATCATTTTATATTGACAGATTTTACCACACCAATTTTGACTGTGCTGCCACATAGTTCATTGTTCACTGGAGACTCAGTTACTCTGAGATGTGAGGTGGATCAGTCATGGGATGGATGGGAGTTTCTCTGGAGTAAAAACTCAAACACTGAATCTGCTGAAGCTGCAATTAAAACAATTGATTCAGTGAAAGTCTCTGATGGAGGAGAGTACAGGTGCAGAGCACGAAGAGAAGGACATTACACAGATTACAGTGAACCAGTAACGGTGACAATATATGGCAAGTATTTTTTGATCACATAATGATCTCTAATGATTATTATGTAATCATTATTATAAATGATTCGTAAGACACTGAATCAATGACTATAACAGCTACAGAGAACAACACTTCAGTCTAACCTGATTTAGCATGTGTGTTTTGCAATAGAGTAACTGTTCATAGACTAAAACCAGCATATTTTATTTTATTTACATATTTGTTATATCACATTATTTTCTTTGTGAATCATTATCATTTTACAGAAAGACCAAAAGCCAAAGTGAGGATTAAACCTGCTCAGCATGTATTCAAAGGAGAGACAGTCACTCTCAGATGTGACATTGATGGTGAAGGAGTCACTGGCTGGCAGTACAGCTGGTATAAAGACGGTTCAAACAGTGTTTTCAGTGAACTACAGGAACACACATTCAGGTCTGTTACTGAGTCTGATGCAGATAAATACTCCTGTTATGGAGCAGAGAGAGGAGGATCACGAACATCAAACATCAGTGATGCAGTTACACTGAAAGTATCAGGTGAGTTTGATCATCTCCTCCTATAAACACACACAAGTTATTATTTTTAACATGTTATTAATTAGTGATTTCTCCATTTCAGACAGACCCCAGGCAGTTTTAATTGTTTCTTCACAGAAGTGGTTGACTGAAGGGGATCCAGTGACTCTGATCTGTGAGGTTTATGGCTCCTCTACAGGCTGGACATTCAGCTGGTACACTCTAACTGCTTCTTCAGGTAAAATATAATGTGCTTCATGTGGTAACTTTGAATTAAAGACATAGTTCACATTTTGCCAGCATTTACTCACCCTCATGTTGTTCCAAACCTTTATGATTTTTTCCCCCACTGTTGAACACAAAAGAAAATAATTTGAAGAATGTCAGTAACCAAACAGTTGCTGGTAGACATTAACTTTAATAGTATTTTTTTTTTCCATACTATGGGAGTCAGTGGCTACCAGCAACTGTTTGGGGAGAAGTTGAGGGTGAGTAAATGATGACAGAACTATCCCTTTAACAGATTTTATTCCAATCAAAATAATTATTTAATATGACTAAGTCAAGCTGATCTAACTACATCCCGACCCAAACTTGTTTACATGGACCAGTGTTACTGTCAAGCTGATTGTGATGCTCAAACAAAAGCAGCATTGTTTTGATATTGCTACAGTGTTCACACATCCCTGGGAAGTCAGCCTACAGTATGAATGGCTAACCAGTCCCACTAAAGAAGGCTTGAAGACCAATGGACATCAAAACCATAAGTAGCCTATGCATAAAATGAAACGTCCCTAGGTTGCGTATGTAACCATGGTTCCCCGAGGGAATGAGACGCTGCGTCGAGAATCGCTTTGGGAATGCCCCTGCGTGACCGCGTTCTGAAGCACGTGTACAATCAGCCCAATGGAGCAGCGAGACGTCACGAGCGGGGTGACGTAAGCACCAGAAAGTATAAAAGTGCATCCGGCAGAGCGCATGTCAGCTTCGATGAAGTAGCGCCTGCAGGGATGCCGGGAGTATGGCAAAGAGACGCAGCGTCTCGTTCCCTCTGGGAACCATGGTTACATACGTAACCTAGAGACGTTCCCCTTCAGGAACTTGAGCTGCGTCGAGAATCGCTTTGGGAACAGGAATACCCATTGTGCCATACTACCAAGTCCCTGCCTGTGTATGTATCTCATGAGCACATCACGAAGAGATAACTTGGGAACCTGGGGTAGATGCCAGTTCTAGGTTATAAAAGCGGACAAAAGTGTGCGGAGAGGACCAGCCCACCGCAGCACAAATGTCCTGTAAGGCCACACCCAAGTTGAAAGCTTTGGAGGACACTATACTCCTGGTCGAGTGCGCTCTGACCCCCATAGGAGACGGGAGGCCAGAGGACTCGTAAGCTAGTGAGATGGCCTCGACCACCCACCTACTCATAGTCTGCTTGGTCACCGGAGATCCTTTCTTTGGCGGACCAAAACAAACAAAAAGCTGCGGACAGTGTGTCCTTTCCTGCGACGCAAATAGATCCACTTCCACCTGGCCAAATTACCTCCAGAGGAGCTCCACCACTTCGGGGTGGAGTCTCCATCCCCTGGGCCTCAGCCCCTGTCTCGACAGGATATCTGCCCCTTGATTGAGATACCCAGGGATATAAACTGCTCTTAGAGAGAGGAGCTTCCCCTGAGCCCACAGAAGGATCTGGCGCGCCAGCTTGTACAAGGGGCGTGAACGCAGACCCCCCTGCCGATTGATGTAGGAGACCACCGATGTGTTGTCTGTGCGGACAAGCACATGATGCCCCCTTGTCTTTGAGATCTATCGTAACAAACCAGTCCTCGGACTGGATTTGAGATACTATCTGCTTGATAGTGAGCATCTTGAACCGAAGCCGTTTGATAGCGCGGTTCAGAAGACAGAGATCTAAGATTGGACGCAACCCCCCATCCTTCTTCGGAACGATGAAGTAACGGCTGTAGAACCCGGACAATCTCTCAAGAGGCGGAACACGTTCTATGGCTCCCTTCCTCAAGAGAGTATCTACTTCTTGTTCCATTACCAGAGCCTGCTCGGGGCCCACTAGTGTGGGGATGACCCCGTTGAAACGAGGCAGACGAGAACCGAACTGGATTCTGTAACTGTCACGTGTATGTTCCCGTTTAGTTCTTGTTGTCCTTATTTGGTCCTTCCAGCTCCTCGCTCCGTGCTCCTCACAGTAGCAACCCGTGAAAGAATTCCGGACCAAAAAGTGACAGTAAGCGGCGCCCCTTCTACCCGTGTTTGTTTTTCATTTTTTGAATAGTGTTTGTTTTTTCCCCATTCGTTTCTCCCCATTCATATGGAGGAATGAGCGCTATGAAGGGGAACTGTACTTGCAAATATGAAGATGCATTTCTGTAGCTCTGATTTTAAAATGTTAATTTTGGCAGCCCCTGAAATGGGTCATACTGACATTACCTAAGCATTTTAAGTAAATACACTTTAGTGCTCATTCAAGGATGATCATTTACTGCTTGGAAGGAGCAAGAACACCTAAGTGTCTAAAATGAGTTCAGATGAGTGAATAAGTGTACCATCTCTACCTTAATGCTGTTGAACTGAATGTACAAAGCAAACTATTTGCTAAAATTGCTGAGCTGCAGACAAAGCAGACATAACACCAAAGTTTAAAAATATCTATGTATCTGAATATTTATTGTATGGTTTTATCAAAAATATTACTGAAATTAAAAGTATTGAATCAATCTGAATACATCAGTTTACAGTTAAAGTCATTCATAAGGAGCATATAGAAATTAATTCCCTTAGTGAACATCTGCACATTCTCACTTTATACAGAAAGCAGCAATCATTATCAGCTGCTCTCAGACAGCAGCAGAGGAGCTGGAGGAAACTACAATGTCAGTTATGCTGCTCTAAATCACACAGGAGTGTATGTGTGCAGAGCAGAGAGAGGAAAACCAGCCTATAAAACAACCTACAGCAACAAACTGCCACTATGGGTCACTGGTGTGTTCAAACACTTAAATGATTGGTTCATATTTATTTTAAAAAATCAAACATTTCTAAATGCTTAACTCTAATTGTCTTCTCAGGTGTTTCTCCTCCAGTCTCTCTGATCATCAGTCCCAGCAGAACTCAACACTTCCCATTGGTCTCTCTCACTCTGAGCTGTGAGGACCAGAGTAACTCTGATAGATGGAGAGTGAGAAGATACACAGGGAGTGGACAGTGGGAAGATTGTTCATCATTACGCTGGGCATCACAAACAGGATCTACATGTACAATCAGCTCCACCATCACATCAGACACTGGAGTGTACTGGTGTCAGTCTGAATCTGGAGAGAACAGTCATCCTGTTAATATCACTGTACACTGTGAGTCTGTGTGTATTTGTTTCACTGGCAGTTGACAATCAATAGATAAAGCAGGTTGATTAAACAAGTGCAGGATGCATCAGTGGGCAAAAAACATTCAGTGGGCAGGCAGCACAAAGAATAGTTGGTAACGCTTTAGATTACAACCCGCAAAGAACTATGTAAGTATACTGAATTTACGGTGTACGTTTCTGTAATTATAGTGTACCTATAAAGAACATACGTGTAGGTATAAGGGAACAATGTGTTACGTTTGGGTAATAAGGGGGTAACAACCAGATATGCAACCTGCAAAGAACTGCGTAAGTAAACTGAAGTTACAGTGTAACTTTTTTGTAATTATAGTGTACCTATTCAGTACCTCCGTGTAGGTATAAGGGAATAATATGCGAAGTTTGGGGAATAAAGGGGTAACAACCTGTAAAATTACAAATCATTTATACTGTAAGTATTTTGAAACTAAGAGGTGCTTATTCTAATATTACGTGGTATGTATGGCCTAAACAACAATCTTATGTTTGAGAATGATTTAGAAAGACGATATATACTTTTTATAATTTTATATTGGTATTTTATTATAGGCGTATAGGTATTTTTAACCATGGGGTACACATTCTATTATAAAAGGAAGGACATGATGGAGATTACTGAACAACTAAACTGGACATCTAGTGAAATGAGTTAATGAGTTTCTGCTATGATTTATAATTCACAAGTCTACTTACCTTATGAAAGCTTATTCGTCGATTTCAGCAACTTCACACCAGCAACTTCTCAACACCACTATCACCAAATAACTTTGCATGATATACCATCAAGGTTCAATGCAGCTTAAAACAAGCTTACCTCTTTCCAGCTGTTTGCAGAAAAATTAGAATAGGTACCCCTTAGTTTCAAAATACTTACAGTAGAAATAATTTGTAATTTTATTATTATTATTAATAATTAATAATTAATAATTATTATTACTCCTTTATTCTCCAAACTTCGCATATTGTTACCTTATACCTACACGGAGGTACTGAATAGGTACACTGTAATTTCAAAAAAGTTACGCTGTAAATTCTGTTTACTTACGCAGTACATTGCGGGTTGTAATCTAAAGCGTTACCGAATAGTTTTGTCATAAAATGTATAAACCATTTTTGTTACTATATTTTTCATAGAATTTTACTATTTGCCAACATTGCATGTTTCCTCTGTTCTGTAGTTGGTGTGATTCTGGAGAGTCCTGTTCATCCTGTGACTGAAGGAGATACTCTGACTCTACGCTGTTTATATCAACATTCAACCCCACCAAACCTCAGAGCTGATTTCTATAAAGATGGATCACTCATCCAGAATCAAACTACAGAGATGATCATCTCTACTGTCTCAAAGTCACATGAGGGTTTCTACTACTGCAAACACCCAGAGAGAGGAGAGTCACCCAAGAGCTGGATCTCAGTCAGAGGTGAGATTGAGAACTATTGAACGCTGTTAAACTATTCCTGTATCAATTACAGCACTAAAATAAAATGGATGTATCTCAGCTTCCCCCAGAACATCTGGATCTGATGGTCTCTGTCTGATGATAGCTGGAGTGACTGCAGGACTGACTGTCACATTTTTGATCATTGTCTTCTTAGTCCTGCCGTGGTGCTACAGAAACAACAAAGGTTCATCATTTGCCTTATTAAAATTCAGTGGCACATTTCCAGACGCTAACTCTGTTCCTAAACCATTTGATCGGCTTCCCCTGCTGAAAATAAGCATCTTAAACCAGCCTATGCTGGTTTTCTGGTCTCCCAACCTGAGTTTGGGGTGGTTTTTATCTAGTCAGGCTGGTAGACCATTTTAAGCATGCTTTGGAGTATAATTTATTAATTACTGAAAAGTATTGATAAAAATAATGCTAAATATTCACATAATCATGTTCACTATTTGTATAAGGCATATAGGTTTCTCTAAGTTAATTATTCATGTGTGTATAAAAGAGATCAAAAGTCAACATTTTATTTTTTGACCTCCCTTTCCCTCAAAACATTTAGCTACATAATAATTTTATGTTTGACTAGGTGTAAGATCTCAGTCTCGCTCTAGTGTCAGTCAACAGCAGAAAAGCAGTCAGACATCAGAGCAGAACCAGAGTGACGCGGGAAACAACACACTGCTGTCTGGTCAGTTCTACATGAAATATACGTATATGTATGAAATCAACATTTTCCATACACTGCAAAATTATTATTGACTCAGTGTCATTGATTGGATGAACCCAGCAAACAACATGTCTACATAAAGGCTCTAGCTCTCTAGACTCTTTTCTTCACTCCAATTCACATATTTGTAATACAATATATTGATACTATATTATATATACAATATATAATTGTATTTTCATATTTAGAAATGTAATAATTTCTAGGTAACACTTTAGGATAGGGATCAATTCTCACTATAACGAGTTGCTTATTAGCATTATTAAAATATTGGCTGTTTATTAGTACTTATAAAGCACATATTTTGCATGACCATATTCTACAACCCTAATCCTACCCAATACCTAAACTTAACAACTACTATTAATAAACAGCAAATTAGGAGAAAATTACTTAAGCAAATTACTTAATGGTTTGTTAAAAGCGAGACTTGAACCTTAAAATAAAATGTGACCCATTTCTATATTTTTAGGTTCTGGATCTAATGATGTGACATATGATCAAATGAAATAAATGTCAAGAGGAGAAACTTTCAATCTCAGGACACTGATGGGTTTAGGTCGAGAAGGGCTGGAGAATGACCAGGATCATCAATGCTTTATCATCTTTGTGATACTAAGCACTTGATAGCAATGGATTTATCAGTAGCTACTTGTTATTAGTGATGCAATCCTTCCTGTGCTTCAGACACTTTGCATGCTAATCTTTGAAAAGCAATGAGCTGATTATATTGGGGAAAAAAATAGGAAAGATGTATTATAATTTATTTCTGCACAGTGTGTATTCTTATTGCACTCCAAAAAGTCCATAAAAATAGGCTCCAATGTCCTGTTAACTCTTTCCTTTAGGGTTAAAGGAAATGTCCATAAACGTAATGGAAAATCTCCTTGCAGAAAATTGCTTAAATTATAGGCTTTAGTTAAAACATGATTGTAGTTCACAAAAGCAATAAATGCAGAGAGAAGTTTAAGTTTGCTGACTTGCATTGCTGCAGTGCTCAGTAGCATTTTCATATTTATGTTTATAGTTTTGAGAAATCTAAATGTTGATGACATTTGGCTAATTTAATGGACTTTAGTGTGTAAGCAATTGAGAAAACTGTAATAAGGATAGAGATTTTTTAGAAACCTTTAACCCCAAGTATGAGCAACAGTAATATTTGCTCTTAGTAGGCATTTTATTGTGTTTAGTGTTAGTAACAAATCTCATTTTGCATTAAACACGAATAAAACAAGATCTAAAGACTACTGATGTGAGCTTCTTTTTCTTCATTCTGTGGTTTATCTTGCATCATGGCACCAGTAATGCATTAATGCTGTTTTTTTTTCTTTATAAAGTACTCTTCCTCTTTCACCCGCAGTCTCTCAGTTATATATTGACTCATGTCAGATGTAGCCTACTTTTTTTTTCTGATAAAAACATCTAATTATAGTCAGTGTCCTCAGATTTGTTTTTTGTTTTGTTTTGTTTTGTTAACTTGTGCCACTATTCAAATTACAATGGGAACACAGCAGTGTAGTCCAATTCCCAAACTAATAACATAAATAAATAACTTCACCCTTGGCTGGGAAACTGTGTATTGTGCATCTTTTAGGAAAATGTTCGCCATGTTATCAATGTTGTTCATTCTTGTTGTGAACTTTTGCATGGTGATTAGATTAACTACTTTGCTGTCTTGAACTGAACACGATGTGTCAGGTGTTTATCACCCCAATTTTACAGTCTCTGCACTGGCTACCTATTAAGTTCGAAAAGTGCTATACAAATAAACTTGAATTGAAAAAAAAAGTTAGATTATCAGCATTACCAAAAATGTTCTGTAACACATGAGATACATTTGTATGTCTTTAATCTCTCATGATGTTCCTAAAGATCTGACTGTAGGTATCAGGAAGTCTTGAGGCTTCGGTCAGTATGGAGCTCAGTCAACTTCCTCTTGTGCTCTTTGAGTGATATTTTATCTGGATGCATTTCAGTGGATGTTAATTGCTCCTTTTTTCTTTTCATGCTGCTATCAGAGTTTCAAATTCAGCTCTAGTCCAAGTTATATGAGTAAAAGATGAGCTTGAGAGAGAGCAAGTGTGCAATGCTGTTTATGAAAGAGAAATGCACTCTGTTGTGCTGTATGTCATTATGTTTTTGTCGGTCAGTTTTGTGTTTTGTAGTGGTGTTTGTCTAATTATTTCTTGCATAGTTATTGTCTCTGTTGCCTTAAGTAGATATTCACTAGTACTTTTAATAAGTGTGTCTTTATTCCTCTGATTCTGTTTAGACTGTTAAAGTTCCCCAAAACACAGGGTTTTTGTAGGTCTTAAAGGGGTGGTTCATTGCGATTTCACTTTTTTAACGTTAGTTAGTGTGTAATGTTGCTGTTTGAGCATAAACAGTATCTGCAAAGTTACGAAAGTTCAATGCAAACTGTATTATTAAAGTGACTGTATTAACATGACGTGACATGTGGCCAAGTACTAGGAATTAGTGCTCTGCATTTAACCCATCCTAAGTGCACACACAGTGATCACACACCCGGAGCAGTGGGCAGCCATTTATGCTGCGGTGCCCGGGGAGCAGTTGGGGGATCG